AAATCCCTCAAAGTACCTAATTACCTCCATTATCTGGGAATAAGAATGTTATGAAAAGTAAAAACAAGCTGTTTTCTCAGATCCTGCTTGGGAGTAGTTTGTGTAGGCAGAGGCAAGGGGCATGTACGGCAGGGACAGCTTATCCAGAAGGTTTTACTCTGATGATTATTTCATGATCAGTTGTTGTTGTTCTTTTTTTTTTTTTTTTCCTTTAAGGAAACAAACATCTCCAAACAGTGAGATTGGTTTTCAAGCAACTACTACTTGATCCAACTTCTGAGAGTCACTTAAGATGTCCCATAGAATTGCTAAGGCATCTCACTTTCTTCTTATCCTACTAATCATTCTCTTTAAAAACAAAACCGAAGGGGCCAGAGCAAAAAAACAAGCAAAACCCGGTTAGACTCTTATACTTTTTGAGTTTGTAATACTTGATTTGAAAGCCTGAAATTAGTTCAGAATAGGATTTCTTTGCCAGATTTAGCCTTCTCTAGGTTCCTTCTTTGGGCTCCGTTTTATTTGGACTCTTTATTCCCATAGTGGACATCTGACCTCCTGGGTTTCGTAGACATGTCCAGGCATGTGTGTCATGGTGAGTTTTCTATGCCATCGCTGGAGTGTGGAATGCACAGAGCTGTTCTTTACGAATAGTGCCACATGTTCTTCCAAGCATCCCTCTAGCCTTTCCATGACAGCTTAACAATAAACAGTTTGAGATTAACCGGATGATATTTGTAAACTTTTAACTTTTACATTTCTTCCTATTTAAAAAAATAAATATATCAATTTTGGATATACCAGAAAGTAATGACCTATGACCCAGTAACATGTCATAACAAAATCTGCTTCTAATGTTAGCTACTTGGTGGTTTCTATTCCTCATCTTATCGACTTGCCATTTATTTTATCCCGTAAGTATGTAAGAATGTATTCTTGGACATTTAAGAACCAGGAACTTATAGAACAGGCCAAGGACAGTTTCCTTGAGTTAATGCATGGTGCTAATTTTTAGTTTTGTTTTCTCAGAGAAGTGTTAATTTGTCATCAAATTATGGGGCTGCAATAAGAAAGATTCTTTTCTTCTTTACTCATAGAGAAGACGAGCGACAACATGGTAACATACCAGCGTAATAGCAACTAATGACAAATAAAGTACTAATGACAAAGTGAAGTAAGGGCTTCAGCAGCTGTGGGATTTGGTCACTAAGGAAGTCTCACCTGAAGGTTTGTTTCCTCTCATGCAGCGTGTATACTCTGAGGCAGGGTCCAGTCCAAGACATGAATTTTCTAGCAAATTTCTCGTGAGTTAAAAAACCTCAGCGTGACCCCTACCACCCTGCTCTCCCCCCCCAAAAAACACCAAAAAACCTCTATGTGACCAGTGAATAATCCTGGGCCCACGTCTAAGAATTTCTTAAATAATGTTTTAGACGTACATTTATCTACTAATGTGCAGCTACTGCTGAGCCTGAAGACCTGCATTCACCATCACGCTTGGGTTCTCCAGAGAGGTGGAGGGTAGAGCAAGTAAAATTCAAAAAAGGCATGGTCTTTGAGTAATTGTCACCCAGAAATGCCTCTCCCAATCAATCAGTCCATCAATCAAGTCACTCCAGCTTTGTCACACCATGTGGCAAAATGGGAGTAGGTCGGGGATCTGTTGGGACCAGCATCTGATTGACTCCTGGTAGACCAGAAGGTTCAGCTCTCTGTGTACACTTGGCCAGGAGAGAGCATGTTGAGACTTGTTTTGTGGGCTTGGTCTCCAAGGAGCTTGAAAGGGAGATGTTATTTTCATAACAGTGTGTGGACGATGTATTCTGAAGGGACATGCACAAAGATGCACTTCTGTGACTTTAGTTCTCTTCAAAATACCCCTTCTTTGTCATTTTTTTCCTCGGTGTCTTCTACAACTTGCTTACAAATGCCATGTATGAAATGTGTGGAGGGTTCGTCGGGGTGGAAACTGAGGTGGAACATCACGTCTTGGTAACCTCTTATACACACACACATGCAGCACATGCGCACTGAGGTCCGCACGGTGTCCTCACCACCTGGCGCGGCAGTGGGCTTGTGGTAAGCTGTCGATCAGCGCTTTTTGGTGATGATAGGCAAATAGCCAGATAGAGGGATGATTGGTTCAAGGCGACTTGGTTGATGAGAAGCTGGACACGAGTCCTGTTTCCCACTGTCTCGATCCAGTGTCCCCTGTGAACGGGCCAGACCACTCTTCTCCACGAAGACATCTTAGCAGAAGGGCTACGTGAGACTGGAATTCCACGGGGCTATGGCAGTTTGTGGCTCGGCCCTGTCCCATGTGCAGATGCCACAGCTCCCGTCCCCGTCAGGGCTCGGACTCATGGGGCTAAGTGAGCCACGTGCCTGCCTTCAGCATAGG